AATATAAAAATAATTAAAACACAGAATCTTTTTAAAGAGTGTTTGAGTAGAAGTACCCTACATGGGTGATGCTGGTGCTCCCAGAAGCCATAAACTTTTAAAGAAAAATCCCAATAGCAGGTACAGGATATCTCCCTATGCGTTGTTTGCCAGTAAAATTGTAAAATCAGTAAAATTGTCATTGTTCTTGGTCGCCCACCGGAACTAGATGATAACACCCTATTGGTGAAGACATCACCCATTTTGGATACAGGACAGAGAAAAATCAGGCTAGAACTGACATGAAGCTTCCTCTCTGCTGTTTGGTGTCCGCAGTGCGAGAATGCTACTCAGGCTGGTGTAGAAGAAAATCTACAAAGCGATTGCCGAGCTGTGGACCCAAATGCTACAATACTGACCTAGAAGCAGAAAATGCCCACTGCTGCAGCAATGGCTTGGCTATTTGGGGGTAATCAACTGCTTTCTGACTATATTTGCGAGTCCATAGAGAGGAAATGCGTGCAGACCAGGTCAAAGCCATATGGCTGGGCTGGCTACACGTCCCAGGTGGGGAATTACTGCTGATGTTTTGCTAAGTAGGCACGTAGTCCAACTGTCCTGTACTTGCTTAAGGTTTTCCTTCGACGACTGCTGCTCTCGGCTGTGCTGCTGTGTGCAGAAGCTAAACCAGAGACCCATAGCTGATCAAAGTGATAAAAGAAGTGCCTTCTCAGTCCTAATGGGACATCCAATATCACCCCTTCTGAGGCTCGGGGAGCATCACGGAAGAGGGGGCAGAAGAATTTAAGTGTCAGAGGATAGGACCAAATGCTTTGAAATGCCGTTCTTTTAGATTATTGCGTGGCTATTACAATCATGAACACACAGCAGCTATGGCTACCTGCACACACAAAATATAAGGGAAAAAAGACATGGAAATTAGGAGGGGAACTAGAAGGGAGGTTTGGGGGATAAGAGAAGGGTAGGAGTATAAATATGCCAAACTATGTTGTATACATGTTTGAAATTGTCAAACTTAAAATTTAAAAGAATTTGTAAAGGTGCTTTTGAGTTATGAGCTTAACCTTTAATGGCTGGGCCAATGAATATTATCCTGATACCCACAGAAGTGTAGCTCTCACCCTTCATCAAAGAAGTTTCACATGGAGATGATTAAAGAAAGTCACAGCTGGTCAAAATGTAGAGAACAATTAACTGGGATGTGCCCAGTCGCAGCTGATACACCTGCTGCACACCTTCTTACGTCTACAGCTTGTCAGGGGGTGGAAAGGCTAAGTAAGAGCCAGAAAGCCAGAACGCCTAGTGTTGGGGCGTGCCTTCTAGATATGACATGACAGCTACACCCATGAAAGCTCAACAATAAAACCGCCTAAACGAGACCTAAACATTTCCAATGCCAACTGGCATACCAACATGGGTAGGAGAAATATCAAGCAGGGCGACGAGCGACTAATGACTACTGGGAGATGGAGAGCTAGTCTTCACCAGGGATGAACAGTACCAACTGATCACCCATAAGAACACATACACACAAGTGACACTGAATGCAGCCAGTGGGTCCTATTTATGTATTTATTCATATATATTCTTAAGGCAAAAGAGGTCTTGAATTTAAGAAGAAGGAGGACATGGGAGGGGTGGAGGGAAGAGAAGGGAAATTATGTAATTATATTTTAATAAAAAATTTACAAGTTTTAAATGAGAAAAGGGAAAACAGGAGAAAGAAGAAAAACAACTGAAAATTGTTCCCACATTTCTGAGCTGAGTCTGTGCACCACAGAGTACCATGGTGCCACTATGTAGCTAAAAGATGGCCTTGAACTTTAGATCTTCCTGGCTTTGCCTCCTGAGTGCTGGAGCTAGCTATTATGCTCTCCTTATTAATACATTTAATGTAACAATTAAATATCATGTTTAAAAGGTCAAGTATTGATAAAATGAAAATAATGAAGAGGATATATATATATATATATGACTTTTAATAATACATACTTGGAGAATATGGTGATAGTTCAGCAAGTTAAGTATTTGCCTTGTACACATGAGGGCCTGAGTTTGATTTCCCAAAATTCACATAAAAATGTTAGGCATAGCGGTGTCACACACTTGTAAGCACCGAGAGGAGGAGACAGGCAGCAAAATGTGTCATAAGACTGTCAGTCAATTTCCCTACAGAAAACTTGAGTACAAGGAGTGAGCGAGACAGTGTATTTAAAGTGCCTGTAGAAAATGAAACAAAACCCATGAACCAAGCACACTATAGTTACAAAAACTATAAGCATGAATGCTTACGTGATTCCTAGACATACAAAATAGAATTGATCACTAGACATAAGAAGGGCAAAGAGGATTTTTTTCAAGTTAAAGTGAAAAGAGGCTAAACAGTAAAAGAAAGGTATATAAAAGTATAAACCCTAGTTGGGAGGTGTGAATATACAGAAGATGGAGAATAATGTGATACTGCAATGGTGCTATAAAATATAAATAAACAGGGCCAGTTCAGGCTCCCTCTCCTCTGCTGCCCAAGGAACTAGCTGGGGACATCTCCGTGGACACCTGGGAACCCCTCTAGAGTCAAGTCTCTTGCCAACCCTAAGGTGGCTCCCTTAATTAGGATATATACTTCCCTACTCCCATATCCACCCTGCCTCTATCCCAACTGTCCTATTCCCTCAAGCTCTCCCCATCCTCCCTTTCTCATGGCCCTGTCCTATAGCCATACTGATGAATATCTTGCATATCACCATAGACCCTTCATCTGGCGATGGATGGAGATAGAGACAGAGACCCACACTGGAGCACTGGACTGAGCTCCCAAGGTCCCAATGAGGAGCAGAAGGAGGGAGAACATGAGCAAGGAAGTCAGGGCTGCAAGGGGTGCACCCACCCACTGAGACAGTGGGGCTGGAGCTCACCAAGGCCAGCTGGATGACGGAGCATGTGATCAAACTGGACTCTCTGAATGTGGCTGACAAGGAGGGCTGACTGAGAAGCCAAGGACAATGGCACTGGGTTTTGATCCTACTGCATGTAATGACTTTGTGGGAGCCTAGTCTGTTTGGATGCTCACCTTCCTAGCCCTGGATGGAGGGGGGAGGACCTTGGACTTCCCACAGGGCAGGGAACCCTGACTGCTCTTTGGACTGGAGAGGAAAAGGAAGGGGGATGGGGGGGCAGGAGGGAAATGGGAGGAAGGGAGGAGGTGGAAAATTTTAATTAAATAATAAAAATAAATAAATAATAAATATAAATAATAATTAATATAAATAAATATAATAAAGTCCAAGTGTAATCATCAACATACAGAAGTATTGGCAATAACTGTCACAGGTTGAACAAAAGGTATCTCCTATGAGCTCAAGTGCTGAAGGCTTCTTCTCCGAGGTAGTGTTCAGAAGTGAGACTATGGACAATGCAGGCTGTGAACTGAGCAACGCATTGCTCTCTCATCGGACTTATAATCTGTTGGCTTTACTGTGAAATAATCAAAGCTACAGGGTGGGGGTCTGCTTTGAGGAAACAGTATCCTGGGAGTAAACTCTTAAAAGATATATCTTGCTCAGACATTTTTGGGTTTTTTATTTATTAGATGGGGTGGTGGCAGCTATGCTAGAACGTTTACCTCAAGGTCTCTGCCCCAGGCTGCACCTCTGGGCTGTCGCTCAGAGGTGTTTTCACACTGTCTCTTTTCTATCATCTTTCCTTGGTCATGCCCTTTCACCATGATGGGGTTTTTTTTCATTTTGTTTTGTCTTTGTTTTCTTGGTCCTTTGGTTTTTCAAGACAGAGTTTCTCTGTGTAGCCCTGGCTGTCCTGAAATGCGCTCTGTAGACCAGGCTGGCCTTGAACTCGGATCTGCCAGCCTCTGCCTCTGCCTCTGCCTCCCAAATGCTGGGATAAAAAACATGCAGCAGCAGTACCCAGTTTATATTTCTTCTTGAAATAGGCTTACAAACCAATAAGTGCTGATCTGAAACTGCGAGCCAAAATAAATGTCGCTTTAAATAGACTTTCAGAGGTGTGTCATCACAACGAAACCCAACTAACACAATGACCTTAACGTCGAAACTAGGTTAGTGAATACACGATATGATAGAGAGGGAATCCAAACATTAATAGAATACAGTTTCTGATGGATACATAAAATTGGTTGGATCCACAGTATAGAGTATGATGTGCATGGTTTCATAAAGAATTGAAATACTTACCAGTTACAAATAGGATATAAGAACTATCAAAAGCTTTATGCAAACTTCAGGGCAACCACAAAAAAATGGTAAATAAAGGAAAAATAATAAAAGTGTACTACTATAAAATATCATCAAACTTCATAAACAACTAGAAGAGAACCAAGATAAATAGAAAATATAGAAAACAATTAAAATAGCAAAAAGAAATGGGGAGATGCTTCCATGATTAAGAGAAAGTTCTTGCTGCCTAGCCTGATGATGACCTGGGTTCTATCCCCTGAACCCACATTGCAGGAGAGAACCAACTCTCAAGGATTGTCCTCAGAACTCCACGTGTGCCTAAATACACACAAACACACACATATACTGAATTTCTTAAAATAAAATAACAATAATAAGCCAATAGCAATCAATAGTTTCTTCAAGTGTAGAGTAAACAAAGAGTATCCCCACAACCACACCAATTTTAACAGATGAAACTGTTTTTAGGCACATTAAAAGTACCTCTAGACACATTAAGGAAGTCAAGAATCCCCCCTAATTCTTTTTTTTATATCTATATTTTTGTATTGGGGGGAGGAAATAGAAAAGAAAGCAGCCCCTATACTGGGCCCTATTCAGTGGCAGCTTCTTGTTCCATAGAGTTAAGGAAGACTTTGAGGAAATAAAAGTTGTTTGGAAAAATCCAGGTGTAGTTGCTTTGTATGCTGTAATGGGTAGGAGGGATGCAGTGAAGTATGAAGGCCCCGCACACCCTCCATCTTGCCTCAGACTATGTCCTGGAACCCTGGGGTGGAGAAAGCGCTACTTTCATTCCTGCTTCTTGGGATTGTTGACTGCCACGTGGTAATAGAGAGACACAAGCAAGAAAAGCAACATACCCAGCATGTTGGCGAAGATGGCGAGCTGCACGTCTGTGATCATCCTGACCAGCTCCACTTGGCTCTGATGCTACCCCTTGCTGTACAGGTCGAGGTTGGAGCTCCCCACTAATTCTTGTTGAACCAGACTAGCTACAGATTGTGGGCCATCTTAAACTCGGACTGCTCTCTAGTGCCGAAATAATGACAACACAGTAATAGAGTCAGGGCAAAGCACCTAGGGTAGGTGCTTCCTAAGCCCCAAATAGTAGAAGAAATGACAGCCTTAGGAAAGACAGATGCTTGCTTAGAATTCCTAGAGAAACAGCCACAGAGTCAAATTAGGAAGGCTAGAATAATAGCTGATCTTATGATATGCAGAAAATACTACATACCAACAAAAATTGTAGGTTTTTTTTTTGAAGAAGCCATGACCTCATCCATCAGTTAAAATAAGGTGCCAGACACTGGCTAAATAATAATCACAAGTCTCAAAAAAGTTAAAAGAGTTGTTGCAGGAAAACAATGAGGGGGCTCAGCACTGGCTGCTCTTCCAAAGGACCGGGGTTCAGTTCCCAGCACCCTCATGGCAGCTCACAACTGTCTGTAACTCGAGTTCCAGGGCTTCTGACACCCATGGCAAAACACCAATGCACATGAAATAAAAATAAATACATTTTTAAAACCTCATAATTTAAAAAGAAGAAAGAAAACAAGGAACTAAAGAAGACACAAATAAGGCTGGGGAGGTGGCAAATGTGCTTGCCACATAAGCCCTGTGGCCTGAGTGGGAACGCCTGGAAATGCATAAAGGCGGAAGGAGAGAGCCCGCTCCACGACGCTGTCTTCAGACCTCTACCAGTGTGACAGGAACTCTCACGCACACATCATACAGCACAGTGAGTCTTTTAGACTAAAATGTTAAAAAAAATTGTAATTAAAAAAAAGTTCAGCATTCTAAAGAAAACAATAAAGGCACAGAAGCACTTTAAAAAGCAAACGAGTCCTTGAACTGGAAAACACACGATGTGACTATATAGAGGTGGTAAGCACATGTCAAAACATGAGCCTGTCACCTTCTAGGCCACCTCCATCACCTTTGGACCCCCGAGTTCTTCCCCAGTGCCCCTTTCAGCCATCCCTTGTAGCCCATCTCCATTGCTTTCTAACTCCCCGGCAACCTGCAGAACCACTATCTATCAGGGACTTACAGCCAACACACTTGGCTGGGACTTTATCCCCTGCCCCCCCCCCCGACCATTCTGGTCTCCCCAGACTTACTCTTAGACCTGCTCCTGCTGCCCACCTATCTGAATCCCTCCCCCGAGCCTGCCTCCATCTCCTTGGGGGCTCTGCCTCTTGGTGAAGATCCAAGATCCCCTTTAATTCTTCCCTGCTGCCCTTTCAGCCTTCCCTTATAGCCCATTTGGATTCCTCTGAGACTCCCACAGACAAATAGAATAGCTCCCTACCAGGGACCCCACAGGCACCACACTTGATTGAGACTCAGGGACCCCACAGCTGCCACACTTGGCTAGAGCCCAGAATGGACAAGGACAAGCAAAGAGTGGAACACCCACCTAACAAAAGTGAGACCAGATTATCTACACCAAGAAACACTTCAAACGTAACTCCAAATGCCTAGATCCCAGTACAAAACTTCAACAAGAGCCAAGACAATACACCTCCTCCAGAGGCCAGAACCCCTATTGCAACATGCCCTGGGAAAGGCAATGGAGCTGAAGCACAAGACAAGGACTTCACCATCGTAATTATGAATACGTTCAAGGACCTTAAAGGGGATTTGAATAAATGCCTTAATGAATACCGTGAAAGCACGATAGTTAAGTGAAATAATGAGAACAATCCAAGACATGAAAGTAGAATTTAACAAAGAAATAGAATCACTGAAGAGAACTCGAACTGGAAATGAGAACTTAGGGTGTCAAAATAATCCTCAGAGCTAAGCTTGCTAACGACTGACTTCCTTCTTACACCTGCTTACTTGCACTGCCTTTTTCGGGAGTTTGTATCCCCCTCGATTTTGCTGAACGCTCTCAGAAGTGTTCTTTTCAAATTGTTGTCTTTTCAGTTCATCTGTATTATCACATGTGGCAGTGATATACTTCACTAACTCTGAATTACATCCCTTTGAATGCATGATCACAGAGGGGTTTTTTTCCTATAAAGAGGAAAAAGGACGTTTATTAAATGGTGTAATAAAATCTCGGTGTTACTTTCTTTAAAACAAATCAAAACTAACATACTTACAGAGGTACTTCTGACATTATAGCTAGGTTCTTGTGTCAATTTCGCCTCTGCTGAGCATATTTGCTGCTCATACAGATTCGAGTTCCAAACATGAGGCTCATGCCAAAGGCTGCTCAAACCTCACGGCTTTTATCCATCCAACTGCCATTGGGCGTCTAGGAAATTTTTCATATAGGTTCTATATCTTAGCTATCAGGAATAATGCTGCGACAAAGTAGGGATATGTATACCACTTTAAGATAGTGATTTCAATTCTTGGGGGTATCTCCCCACAAGAACGATTTTGTGTGAGAAGTCGTCACCCTCTGTTCAAAAGTGGCTGTGTCATATCTCACATTGCTACTAGCAGTGTGCTATGCTTCCAACACTTGCTGTCTTCTTTTTTTTTTATTTTCAGAACTTTCCTCCTAATGAATGTGGAATGATATTTCATTGTGGTTTTAATTTGCATTTTCCATGCTGATTAGTCATAATGATTAACTGTTAATCTATCTGGTAGATTTACATTAGTTTTCTTCAGAAAAGAAAATCCTATTTGAGTCCTTTCTTATTTTCAAATCAGTTTATTTGTTGAATTCTTGTATTAAGTTGTAAGAATTCATTAAGTATTTTGTATGTTAATCCTGGATAATATATTGTTTGAAAGGATTTTCCAGAAAATATGGGTGGAAAGTTTGGTTGGGAGGTATGAAGGTCCTTGCACCCACAGATCTCCAAGGAAACCAGGAATGTTAATAACACAGAAGTTTCTCCGCAAAGGAGGAAATTAATACCTGTTCTTCCATAAAAAAGACTGGGAATTGGAGGTGATTAACAACTGGGTGATTGAGCCAGACCATATCAAGCCTCCACAACCAGGACTGGAGATGGCTAGTAATTTATATGACCCTCACATTATCTGGATAGCCAGGGGCTCCCCCAAGCTACCACAATCAAGACTGGATATGGAGAATAGCCCAAATGATCTCTACACTATCCATATGATTGAGATCACGCCAAATCCTTCCCTAGGCCCTTAAGCTATTAAAGGTAGCCTATCTCTAGAACCCATCTTGGAAGAAATGACGTGTATTTTGAGTTGAGATTGTATTACTCCAGGAAACGTTTTCCAAACATACTGGTATCAGACTTTTTTTTTTTTTTACAAATTATCTTGGGCTATCTTTTTTTTAAAAGATTTATTTATTTATTATGTATGCAACATTCTGCCTCGATGTATGCCCGCACGCCAGAGCAGGGCGCCAGATCTCAGTACAGATGGTTGTGAGCCACCATGTGGTTGCTGGGAATTGAACTCAGGACCTTTGGAAGAGCAGGCACTGCTCTTAACCACTGAGCCATCTCTCCAGCCCTGGTATCAGACTTTTAAAGTTTGGTCCAGCCCAAGTCAGGCTGAACTGAGTTTTCATTCTCACTTCTTCATAGACTGTTTCCCTGCCTGCCATGACACCTGCAGGGATGCCCTCAAAGTTTTATGACTTTGAGCTTTGCAATGAATTCCTAGATATGAGCAAAAAACATCAGTAAGACAATTAAAATTAGACAAGTAGAGCAACACTCAGACTACAAAGCTACTCCTGTATAGCTAAGTATTAAAGTGCTTACTGACCCATTGTGCAGCCCTAAATTTCGTAAGAAACACCACAAGACAAGAGAATTCCTGAAAACTGAAGGCATAAGTCACAAACAATGCCACACCAGTTTGGAATTATGACTAATAGGGTGGTATTTATTTAAAGGGGAAAAACTTACAGATCACAGCCCTCTGTGCAACCAGGTATGGAGTCTAGTCGCCGGCGGAGCAGGAAGTGAAGAAAGAGAGCAGAGGGAAGTGGCCGCTCTTTTAAATGGAGAGAGACCACGCCCCAATGGGCTGGTATCTCAGCGGCTATAGGCTGGAGGAGTGGGAGGACCTCCTGCAACAGAAAACCAAATTAAATAATTTAAAAAAGTCCTACTGGGGGAGCGTACAACTCATCAAACATACCAAAGATCATTGTATTCCAACTTTTTTTCCTTTTTTTATTCTTCTCTCATACAATAAATACACCCCAACCACAGTTTCCTCTCCTTCCACTCCTCCATCGAATCGAAGACCCAGATATTAATCCACAAACCTATGAACACCTGATTTTCGACAAAGGAGCTAAAATTATACAATGGAAGAAAGAAAGCGTCTTTAACAAATGGTGCTGGCATAACTGGACGTCAACCTGTAGAAGAATGAAAATAGATCCATGTCTATCACCATGCACAAAACTCAAGTCCAAATGGATTAAAGACCTCAATATTAATCTGACCACAATGAATCTGGAGTACATATTTTTAAAGTATGACCCAACGATTCTTTGGATTTTCTCAGTGTTTATTATCTGTTGGTATGTCCCCCCTTTGGTTTCTGATTTTGTTAATTTGGGTATTCTCTCTCCATCTTTTAGTTAATTTGGATAAGGGTTTGTTTATATTGTTGATTTTCTCAAAGAACTAACTTGTTTCATTCTTTGTATTGGTCTCCTTGTTTTTAATTTTATTGATTTCAGCCCTCAGTTTGATTACTCTCTGCCACCTATTCAACATAGGTGTACTTCTTTTTCTTCGGGAGTTTGCATGTATACTGTTAAGTTGCTAGTGTGAGATCTCTCCAATTTTTTTCCCATTTTTTTATTGAGAAAAGGAGAAAAAAAACAAGTTTCCACCTCCTCCCAGCCTCCCATTTCCCTCCCCCTCCTCCCACCCTTCTCCCGCTCCTCCCACCCTTCTCCCCCTCCCAGCCAGAACCTGGAAACAACCTAG